ATTTTCCTCAATTGTTAACGGATGAAGATCATTGTGGTCCCATATAAAAATCAATAAGTTCAACAATCATTTATCTTTCTGACAATGTGCTTTTTATATCACTTATATGTACAATATGATTGCTAGATACGATTTCATACGAGAAAACGTTGGAATCTTAATTTTTAGGCCTAGTCTATAATACGAGGGTGGATTGAAAAGTACTCGGCCTAACACAGATCCATTCAATTCTAAAAATCAAATCTACCCACATTATTTAGTTCAGTTCAGACTAGTTCATTGTGTGAAGTTCGAAACGCGTGCGATAATTAGTTGTGATTTTATAAATTTATTAACAAAGTAATCGGACATAATTTCCGCGAATGGAGCAAATCGAGCAGCGTGCCGTCATTAAGTACCTCCATAAGAAGGGGCTATCATCAAAAGCCATCCATGATGACATGGTCAGTACATTAGGCGATTGTGCTCTGTCATATTCATCCGTCAAAAAATGGATAGCAGAATTTAAGCGTGGTAGAGAGAGTGTGAAAGATGAACCCCGCTCTGGAAGGCCTTCGACGTCAACTACTGACGAAAATATTAAAAAAGTACTTGATTTAATAATGGGAGACCGCAGATTAAAAATTAGAGAGATAGCCGAGATTATAGGCATCTCTTATGAACGAACTCAAAACATCATTGTCAACGAGTTGGGTTTCCACAAGGTGTCTGCGAGGTGGGTTCCGCGACTGCTTTCAGTTGAACAAAAAAGGACGCGATTGACTATTTCACGCGACTGTTTGGAGTTATTTGAAGCCGATGCAGATGATTTTTTTAATCGTTTTGTTACTATGGACGAAACATGGGTTCATTACTGTACACCGGAAACAAAACAACAATCAAAACAGTGGAGAAGACCTGGTTCACCACCCCCTAAAAAGGCTAAGTCGATTTTGTCGGCAAATAAGGTGATGGCTTCAGTATTCTGGGACTCGAAAGGTGTGATTATGATTGGTTATCTTGAAAGGGGTCAGAATGTAAACTCTGATTACTACTGCACCTTACTACGTCGTTTACGAGAGGAAATAAAAGAAAAACGTCGAAGAATGCTCAGAAGAAAAGTCCTGTTTCATCAAGATAACGCCCGTGTTCACACGTCAGTACAGTCAATGGCTGAAATTCACAGCTGTGGCTTTGAACTGTTACCGCATCCGCCGTGTTCACCTAATCTGGCACCATCAGACTTCTTTCTGTTCCCTAACCTAAAAAAGCACTTGGGAGGTCAAAGATTTTCGACAAACGACGAGGTCAAAGCAGCTGTAGACGCATATTTTGACTCTAAGGAAGAATCATTTTTTTTCAACGGTCTAAATGCTTGGAAGGGGAGGTGGCAAAAGTGTATTGAACTTGATGGTGATTATGTGGAAAAATAAAAATATAACTGATTTAGTATTTGTTTATTCTCTTGGTTAGGCCGAGTACTTTTCAATCCACCCTCGTATATTTTTTTTATAGGATAAGGGTGACAAACGAGCACACAGTCCACCTGATGGTAAGTGGTCGCTGTGGCCCATAGACATCTACATCTATCTTCGATTAAGAGTCAAAATGCAGATGCGTTGTCACCCGTGAGGACTAAGATGGAATGCCTCGTTTCCAGTAAAAAGGGTCTAATATAAAAATGAATCGCTGAAAGTGTTGCTAAGCGCAAATCTCGAGAGCAGCTGAACCGATTTCGCAAATTTTTTTTAATAATATTCCCTAAAGTACGAAGATGGTTCTGACGGAGAGAAAAATTTAAAAAATTGCCTGAAAAAGTGTAAAAACAACACTTTTCTATATTCCCATACAAAAAATTCGTAATAATATTTAAAAGTCACTTTGAGCTTTAATACCATACCATAAAGTTTAAGTGTTAGTGGTGGGGTTCCGGAAAGGCAAAACAATTGAGTGACGTTAGTATCGTATAAATATTAATGTCAATATTTGTCAATATTTATACACACTGGCAGATAGCTGATGTTATAAGGAGTAACTTGGGCTGCTTTTATTTTAGTGTTCCGCGAAAAATAACTCCACGCGGGCGAAGTCGCGGGGAACAGCTAGTAGAACATAGAACTACCGATGCGCTTAGCGCTTACGGCATGCGATAGAAATATAAATCAGTCACATCTCAGAGTGGCAAAACAGAGGAATGAAGTTTTTAATGTAAGTATTTAGATGGCAATGAAATTTCGATTTTCCTTAGTAACCTCAAAAAGTTAAAAATAACTTTTAATAAAAAGTAATAATATAAGTATATTTTAAAAGAACTGGAGGAGTAATTCTTCTGTAAAGAATGGCTTAGCACTTCTTAAAAATAATTTTTAAAGATTTCATCGCATTCAGATAAAATCTTTTAGGTATAAAGTTAAATTTGAATGTGTAATGTGATTGAAAATATAACTTCACTGAACATCCTGCAATAAAACAACGCACTACGTGAGTCAAACTTATGTTTGTGTCGTCGAAGTTGAGAATAACTACACAAGAGACAGTCGAGCAAGTCAGTGCCCTTGTTACGTTGTTATACGTCGCGTTACAATACAAATAATCTTATACATTGTAATTGTACTTCTTAAAAACTGGGGTGTAACTATGTTGTTTAAAAAAATCTTGTTCTTTATAGACAAAGTCCATGTGGGATGCTACTTGCGTAGACAAATTGGCGGTCTCTCATCTCAGGGGTATTTCGTTTAGAGCCGGGGTGGCATCAGAGCAGCTGAACTGAGTTAGTGGCGCAAATATGAGTCTGAGAGATGACTACATATTTGTGCCATTTGCTATAGAGACTATCGGTCCGTGGGGTGCACGTGCGGTGAAGTTCCTAAAGGAACTCCATTCGCGTCTGGTCGTTGCTGCTGGTGATAAGAGGGCTGGTTTTTTCCAGCGAGGAAACGCAGCCAGCCGTTCTTGACTCGATACCACGGGGTGTATCGAGACAAAAACCGCTGGCAAAAGCTTGTCATTCATATCGTTCACTTCATTGCAATCTTCTAGGCACTAAAAACTATTTTGAAACTCGAGCTGAAAGTTTTTTGGGTTTTGGATTAGAGCACGATGGGGAAGGAGCGTTAAGTTCATTATACGTGACATCTTTCGGTTCATTATGCCTCTTACCGTTCAGTGATCGCTGCTACTTTTCACCCTCGGGATCATTGAGACATCACTGAACAGTTGTCGTCTGGTAATTTTTTGTCGAATCACCGGGGCTCGACCAGGTCCACTTCATCATACTGTGTGTTCTATAAATTTTGAAAACCTACGATACAGAAAGGAAAATGGGAATAGGTCGAGAGATAGCTGCAGTGTAGTGGCGAAGTTAGAAAATCCACTTCCGCATAAATCCCGTAGGGGACATAAGAGACTAACAGAGAGAAATGAAACATGAGATGGATAGCAGCATCTTCCTTAGAATAATAATAAACTGCTGTTTACAACTCGCTTGCCAAGCGTTGCAACTACGGCCACTATCTCCATTATGGGTCAATCTAATGGGGAGATCTACATTCAGCAGTTGACATTTGTTAAGCTACAATAGTCATGGTGGGTTGAAAAGTAGACATAATAGTTTTGTATTTAAGTTTTGTGCCGATTTATAGAATTAGGTTGTAATTTGATTAATCATATTTTTTTCAATCAAAAATCATTAAATTTTAAATTGACCTGTGTTTCAGAATTTCTAAAATACTTTTTTTATTTTAGGGTTTGAATCTAGTTAAAACTAGGTATGACGTACAATTTTGCAACATACACATATGTTCTATGTACCTACATATATCTCTCAGTTCCACTTCCACAGTTCAATAGGTTGAAGAACTCTTATCGGAATTCACGAATTCTATTCACTACTTCTCTTATCTCGGTGACCTACTGACATTAGTTATAATTTCTTCTCGCCGCAGATTATTTTTTGGATTTTAAGCATGTACCTATTATTTGATTAATATGAGCTTTACCATAAAAGTAATAAATATACCCATTCAAATGTTTTGATATTATTTATGTTTTTTCTAATATAATTAACAATTACTAGAATATGATAATTTTTTATAAATATATAATGGAATTTAAATAGCCAATTCTGTGAGTATCAATATATCGCAATACAAGCGTGTCTTTTCACCTGTCAAATAGGATTTACTTGATTTAATCCCCCCTTTCCATCATTAAACAACTTTGGTAACCATCTGGTTGTTTAATACAACCAGATGATCAACTGGCCTCCACAACTTTGTTGTCGATATTCTACCCGTACAAAACAAAATGTTTCCTTCGTCTTTGGTAATGAATACAGAAAATGAGTGGAATATTTTTCAGCTGGAATATCTTTCCGTTCGATTACAATAAAATAACTTCAAGGCAAGAGTAAACAGGCTTCTATTACACTAATACAGTGCGATTTACAATTTTATATTTTTTTTTATAGGATAGAGTGACAAACGAGCACACAGTCCACCTGATGGTAAGTGGTAGCTGTGATCCATAGACATCTACATTTATCATCAATAAAGAATCAAAATGCAGATGCGTTGTCACCCGTGAGGACTAAGATGGAATGCCTCTTTTATAGTAAAAAGGGTCTCCGGTTCTTTACACTCACCATACGAAACACAGCAGCATTAAGCTCCTATTTTACGCTGGTATTCTGTGAGAGCGTGGTTCTTCCCCGGTCGAGCCGACCCATTCGTGCTACAACAATACTATTAATATAGCTGCACCATGGCTCTGCCACGTAAAAAACATCAACATCAACACCCTTTTCTGACAGGTGGGATTGTAGTCAAGCATTGACTTATCACAAGTAAAAAAGGGAAACTCTATTAGGTGTTGATAATACTAATTGCTAATCGAACTAATTCGTATCGAATGACATTATCTTGGAGTCGATGTAATCATCTGCTTTTCTTATGATATGCGTGATAAAAAATCATTAATTAAAGTAAAGAAGATACAGTTATAATAAATATATTCCATTCCAGAAGCGACAAACGATGTTATAGCAGCAGCTGGGTCAGCTCGAGAGGGCGGTGAGGTTGCTATTTTGATTAAAGGACCTCATAGTAAAACGACGAGACGTGAGGAGTTGATGCGTGCTATGAGCTCCAATGATAACGCCATCTCACTTTATTATAATAGCAAGAATAATAAAGGTAAGTGAAATAGATGCAATGGAGATTTACTATGTTCAATTTCAACTTCTTCTTCGTTAGTCCTTAAAAGATTACTGCTGGACATGGACCTCTCACGTTATTTGGTTTTATGATTGAAATACTAAACGTCTCACACCTTTGACACTGTTCCTCATCGTTGGTATAGTTATTTAATGTTTAACATAAACGAGATAATTATACCATCATCTAGAAACCAAAAGATTTTTTGCACATTTCCCATAGCCGTATCATACAATACCCAGGTTATTTTATTTATAAAATATACGTCTTTACCTCGTTGAGTGCGGGGGCACCATTGAACTATCTCATGTCACAGCTACAAGCAAATGCGGTGGTGGTTGGTAACGCGTATACCATAAAGTATAGTAATACAACTGGCATGCACCGACATGTGTGTAGCACGCGTGAGCCAGCCAGTCACCATAATGTAAATCATGTCGCGAACCTATGATCAACTAACAAACTCCTAGGGGTTCACGTACTCTACTCTGAGAAACCCACCTTTATGCCAATACATAAGTTTATAAATCACAGGTGTCTTTAATAGTAAGATGTTAATGAACAAAACTTGGAGGGCTTATGATTTTTATCATTGCTTGTCTTTTTTTTTCAGTTTCATTGGAAAGTTTAAATGGTAGTAATCTGAAATCGGTGTCGTGGGGTCTGGGCACCGATCCTCATGATGTACTTGTATTTGTTGCATCATCCAAACGAGTAAAACTTTTTGTCGGGTGCAAAAGTCTTCATTGGCACGATATGCTGGGGAAGCACGACGTACTAGAGTTATTCTCACAACACAAGCTAAAATTGGTAAGTTTTCGTTACTACTTGACCTGAAACCTGAAATAAATAAGTTTGATTTTTTTAAATATTTAGTGATTAAGTAGAAGCTTGTTTTTACTCATAAATTTGGCCAGCTTAATATTTTCTAATCATCGATTAGTTTTGCTATAAAAATAAAATGTTAAGATGGCTTAGAAAGACTGTTCCAATATCTTTAATTTTTTGATAGTAAGGTTTTGTTCAATAAACTAATCCATTAAAACATTTTACCAAAGTGTTCCATAATTTAATTTTTATTAATCTGACACATATTTTTTTATCTCTCTGAATTCTACTAAATTTCATTCAGAAATTTTATTTTTTTGCACTATTTCAGTACCACGAAGAAAATACACCTGTTGAGGTATATGGAACTGACGTTGCAGCATTAGACTCTATAGGTTGCGACATTCATAAAGATTCCATTAAACCACCAACTCTAGTATCAGTTGATGAAACTGACGTAGAAGAAGTGAAAGATTTTATTGCGAGAGATGCTAGATGGAAAAGAGAGGAGGAAGAAGAGATGCAAGGAGATGATTATAGAACAAACTTTATAAATCCTAATGGTGTTCTTCCTCAACCTTCTCAGCCAACTACACAAAGGGGAGATATCCCATCGACTGATATAGAATCTTGTGATGGTATGAAGTATGAATTTAATTGAGTTCTTATTGCATTTTTATCTTCTATGCAATTTTTATATAAAAAAAAATTAAAGCAAAAACACTATGCAAAATAGAAATGAATAAGACGTAGGTTTTAAGACATTTTTTTTTCCTTAGATGAGGTGATTCGTCAATTAAAACTTCTGCGACAAACGATAGATATACTGCGTCGAGAGATGACCGATCAGAAGGGGAATATTGACAGTTTGAGAAATCAACTTCGTGCTTGCTGCAATAAAGTACCTTCTCCACCTCCTGTTGAGCATTGCTCTGGATCTTCATGCTATCCTGGTTATTAAAACATTATTTACTTCATTTTTAACGTGTATTGTTCTTAATTCTTGTAAAGTTTTTAATTTGTGTAATTATTATAGCTATTATTTATTTTTGATTTACTTTAATATGTATTAAAGATTGAATGTTTGTCATTTTGTACGAAGGTAAATCAAGCAACATTTGTATGTAGAATATGTGGGTTTTGATTAAATACTTCGCAAACATTAAACGCGTTTTATTTCACAAGCCACATTCCTTTATTGGTTCAGTTCACTAATTCTATTAAGTCCCTTCTAGCACCTACGCGAAATAAATGATTTTAAAAGTTGCTTGATTAATCTTAACAAAATTGTTGGAGTTACTATGTTTAAATTATTTTTTAATTTTGAAATATCACCTAAAATATAAACAGGATTGAGAACTATCTATGGACATATAAATATCCAATTTTAGTAAAGCAAATCGATGACAAAAATCATCAGTAACATTTTACTTTGTTTAATCTTCAACTTGACATGGAAATTAGAATTAAAAAACGAAATTGCTCAATAAGTTTGCCATTTAATTACCCCAATGAGAATGGGCAGACTACTTGATTTCATATCAAGTAAAAAGAGATCTCTTAAAAATATGAAATTATTTTTCTTATTTCTATGACTTATCTATTCATGTTTGATATCTAATTATAGTATTGACTAAGAGGTTATAAAGCTTAAAAAGACTCTAACAACTACATTATGCTTTAACTAGAAATATTCTGCATTTAATATACTTTTTGCTGACTGATATAATAAATGATTTCGGCATTAAACAAAAACTGCAAATGTTTAGTTTAGTGCCTACGCACAGAAACTAATATAATGCCATCTAAAACTACGAGTACCTTTAGATAGCATTATATATAGTTTCTAAAAGAAGCATCCTAGAGTTGTGGTAGAGTGTATATTAGTGGTTCTAAAGCTAGTGTAACACAGGTGTGGAATGTCGGAACACTGCAACGGGGTACCAATGTGGTTCATGTCCGCGTGGTATGGAAGGCGACGGAAGACGTTGTAGGCCGATACTATGTAGTAGGAGACCTTGCTCGCAAGGTAAGTGAAAATTTTGTTGCAGTTTCGAAATTTTTAATACTATAAATTAACACTTTCCGTTATTTTATGATAATGATAATGATTAATGAAAGTTTTTTTTTAAGGAAATTTGGTTTAGTTTTGTCAAATCGAATTCTTTGCAGATTTTTGGAAAGGAAACTTAATTTTGACGACTTTCAAAATTGAAAGGGTTTTTTAAATATTTTGAATTTCTGTCCTTTATTCCTATTATTCTAATAATAACAAACATATTTCTTTTCCTGGCCAGCCTGACGTATTTAAAGATTGAAAATGTTCGGACACAGTTATTAAAAAAATGACCGATTCCATTTTTCAGGGCCGATTTTCAATCCTCAAATAGAAAGTTTTTATGAATAAAATACAACATAAACGAATTAACATCAGACAAAGTATTCAGTAACAATTGTATGAATAAAAAAAAATTACAGTTGTATGAATAAAATAGTTCAGTTGTTTTACTTTAAATTACTTATTTTATAATTTATTTGATGTATCACTTTTAATAACACAAATATATTATGTAGGATTACAGTTGTGATGAATACACAACATGAACATATTCAATGTTATAACACTGGAGGTGTTCCTGTTTCTTGTCGAGTAACCACTCCACTACACGATCACCAAAAGGCAGACGTTTCTTCACCATTTCTTATACGATAAAAAGATTAGGTGACACTTGGTGGATATGATGTTATAATGTATGTTCAGCTACATACATTGCCTTAGGAGGGGTTTTTACTAATTCATCGGTTTTATTTTAGTGGAATACTGCGTTGACACCGAACAAGGGTATCGTTGTGAGAGATGTCCGGGCGGGCAGAGCAGTGATGGTCAGAATTGTCATTCTGCTTGTAGCTCCAATCCTTGCTTTGGTGGACGTAAGTTTTATTTTTATATAAAAAACAAACATGTATGCTCTTATATTCATCATCAAGGTACGGAACAATAGTAATGGTGACGAAGACAATAATGTCTTTAAAAGATGTGAAATGGATGGTTTTTATAGTGGTTTGTGATGTCTGTGCTTCTTACAATTTTTTGCTTACAGCAAGGGTGACTAAGACAATACAAAAGATACAGATAATCAGCGTACAATAATAGACAGCTATCTAGCCTATAACAGTTAAACTAGCTTTCTCGACAGACGTTCTTCTGCCCTTTCCTATAATGGCAGCGATGGCGATTAATGGAAGGTGGCGCGATGGGTTTCACTTCTAATTCACTCAAATATTTTCTGAATATTATTAAAATTAACATTTAGCGATCTAAACTGCCATTTTGTTGTTGGAAGCGTAAGAGAATCTATTTCTTCCCATGGATATCGTAAAAGACGAGTTTGGAAAATTCTAAAAAAAATCATGACTCTACATAGATTTTTTTTATAGAATATGTGTGATTGTATGTCACACAAAGTCCACCTGATAGTATGTGGATTCTGTAACCCTTAGACATCTACATACATCCTTGATTAAGAATCAAAATGTAGATGCGTTGTCACCCGTGAGGACTAAGATGGAATGCCTCGTTTCCAGTAAAAAGGATCTCCGGTTCTCTACACTCACTATTCTGTATACGTTATTTTACACTGGTATTCTGTGAGAGCGAGGTTTTTACACGGTCGAGCCGACCCATCCGTGTTATAACAATAATGTAGCTGCAGAATGGCCAACCACGTAATATAAAAATAAATCAAGCTCTCAAATCAAATAAAATCAAAAATCGCCACCAAGGTCCACATTTCGGGATTATCTTTCTTTTTTATAAGCCAACATATATTGTGAGAATAAACCATTTTGTTTCATAAATACAACATTTAACAATATTTTGACTACAGCGCCATCTGTCGGATTCTAGCTTAGCTGTAAATCATTGTCTTGCAAAAACAAAATAATGTGTTGTGTAACGAATTACATAGCTTAATTTATCACTCTCCCTTTCACCATCTGCCAATCAGACTCTCGGCTCGTCTCCATCCTTTCGGTGACGATTTACCACGCATTCGAACTAAACGGTACATATGCTTCTTCATTCGTCATATCGAAAAGGAGTGAATAGAGTTTTGTTAAATGCAAGTGCAATGTGGGCATCTTATGCTGCGGCATCACTTACCATCAGGTGGGATTAAATATATTATAATCCATGGAAATAAATACGATGTAGATTTGTTATCACGCGTGAAGACTAAGAGGATTGTTTCTTTTCTAAAAAAATTTGAATAATTTTCATTCACTTGCAACACGGAATACATTAAGCAACTTCTATGATTGGTTTTCTTTTATTATAGTCTTTGTAGAAATTTATTCAAGGTTTGGTTTTCAGGTGTACAATGTCAGGATTTACCAGGTGGTGGATATCGTTGTGGTTCTTGCCCCTCTGGTTTCCATGGTAACGGTGAGCAGTGTGAAAGGATTTCGTGTCGCCATATCTCTTGTTATCACGGTAAGCGCAAAAATGTTGTAAGGCTAACATGACCATATTCGATTTTTTAATAAATTTAATTAATAAATTTTATAATGCAACATACGAGTAATACTGCCTTAACATCTGATCTTAGTTATAAAAATCCATTAATTTAGGTAAAATATTAGCATATTTTGTAAACTATTACGTTCTGTTTACCCATTTTCTTACTTACTTGCTAGGCAACTCTGCAATTTAAGTCAAAGAAAATATTAATGGATAGGACTAGTAGGTATTTTTTTTAACTTACGACCAAAAAGCCGTCTTTTTTTTAAAGGCAGTCAACGCTCTTGTAATCTCAGTATTTTAGAGGCAGGATGAATTTTTCATAGTGCACAAGAGCTTTAATTCTTGTCACCCTTTTTCATCATTGGACAACGAGGTAGTCGGCGGACCTTCACCGCTTTGTTGTCGATACTCCATGCATTCGAACCAAATAATTTACTTTGTCTTTCGGGGTGGCTTAGTCACCTACCATCAGGTGAACTACATGCTCGTCTGCCTCCCTCTTTTACAAAACAAATAACTTCAACACAGTGAATTTGTTGTGCGCCGTACTAAATACAATTATTTTTGGGAAATACAAATATTTGTTTCATGAATGGAACCCGCGGTCCACAACACCGCAATCAAATTCTTAGCCACTGCTTTACCGAACAGTCTCACAAAATAAACTAAAACTTTTAAATAACTTATATTTTATTTTTATTTTAAAGTGTACGATGAATTGATAAACATGGAATCAGTAATTTTATGATCTTAAGTTTTATTTTATAGTATTAAGTCTTACGTGTTATATACTTTATTTTTATTATTTGTTTTTTATTAGGAGTGGAATGTCAAGAAACATCATCAGGTCCTCAGTGTGGGCCATGCCCTAATGGATACATGGGAGATGGACAAAGATGTCAGCACGTTTGCGACGCGAGAAAACCCTGTGGTGAAAGAAGATGCACGCCTATTTCCTCTAGTCCATTCTATGAGTGCCAAGAATGTCCTAGAGGATACCAGTGGAATGGTGAGATTGTTTTTGTCGTTATCACATCCCATAACAAATATACTACTGAGTAATCCCTACCCATAGATTAATGGGGGGATGATTTGCCAAATTTGCCCCGATCGGCAAGCGAGTTGGCAACTGCATTGTTTTTTGTTTAATATTTAGGAATAAGCCGCTGCCCATCTCTAGGCACAGTTACCCTCAGTCTCGCTCGTCGCTCTCTCGCCGCTCTCTTACGGCACCTATTAGATGATGTGATTGTGTAGTGGATCCTCTGATACCACCGCTACACGACTATGTTTGCTATATTTATTTTCACATAAGTTTGTCTAAAAATTAGACAGCGTGGATTTAGACTTAGTTAGGAAAAAAACTTTTTCATCAGAAAATTAAACCTTCATCGTATTAGGTAGACTATCACTTAGTACGTTGACATTTTCAAGAATGTTATGTACGCGTTAGAAGATTTGATCATACTTAGGTGGGTATCGTCGTTGACTTCGTACGTTCGTTTGACGTTTGGTTTCATTAGTAAAGTAAAATAACAGCCTTTATACGTCCCATTGCTGGGCACAGGCCTCCTCTTATTCCTGAAAGGGTTTTAGAGCAAGGAAATGTTGACGAACTTCACATGTTTTTCTTATTTCTCAGACATGCAGGTTTTCTCACGAAGTTCACCGTTGAGTACGTGTTAAATCAGCACTTAAAATTGCAATTAACAATTTCATTGGTGGCGGCGGAGATCGAACCCGGGTTGCACGTGTACTGTGAAATTTGCAGCGAGCGCTTAGTCCCTGATCTATGGGTATGGTTTGAGAGTGAAATAAAAGCTTAAACAAACATAAGACTTGATGGTCATTGGTCATATGAATTCTATCACTAAGCAATGTATGTTTATTAAAGAATGTTGAGGCTGTGGTCTCGCCAGAGATATGCTAAGAATTTGAGTGGTATGAGGAGGCGTAAAGGAGCTGTGAAACGATGTGATTCTTTCCAGCAAGGCTGTACGAGGAAGTTGAGCGTTGCGGGAATGCCTTATGGATTTTTTTTGCCTCACTTTTTTCATACAGATTCCTCGCACGCCTCTTTCTCTGGCGTCTCTTGGACACTTCGCTCACTTATTTTGTATGTAAAAAGGCTCCGTTAAGATCTTTTGCACTACAGTATTAGCACAGCTCTAGTGCAAAAGATTTAGGACGGATTGAGGTTAGGAGAATAAAATGATCCTATTTGTGAAATGTTTCCTTGCGCACCGCACTTGTTGTGTTGTTAGGCCTTTTACAAATTGTAATTTACGTATAAAGATTGCTAAATTTTTTGCTTGTTACAAACTCTGTGATGATGCATTGACGTAATTTTGTTGTAAATTTTTTTAAAGTCTAGAAAATAATGTGACGTATTTCTTAGCATATTATTTCGTTTTATATTTAAGAATTCTTGGTTTAAACTCCTGAACACCACTACGTTCCATTCCAAACTTCATTATGACATTTTCTAGTTACAATTTATAATCGAAAAAGGATTAGTAACCAAAACTTGAGAAAAGCTTAATTAAAATTGAAGCATAAGAAGATTATTAGATTCTATTCCAATTCAAAACTCAAAAAACATATTCAGGATACACTTGCGTGGATATCGACGAGTGTGATTTAGTCCGTCCGTGTGATGATTTGGTGTCCTGCCGTAATGAGGAGGGTGGGTTCACGTGCGGGCCGTGCCCGGCCGGGTACGCGGGCAGCGCGGGCTGGCGCGGCGCGGGCGACGAGCGGCGCCGCGAGCGCTGCATCGACGTCGACGAGTGCGAGGACGGACGCACCAGCTGCCCGCGGGGCCGCCTCTGCGTCAACACACCGGTCAGTTGTAACACACATCATTTCATTTCATTTCATTCCTGTTTAGTAAAATCTAAGCCTCTTCGAACCGAACATTCACCGCAGACTAAACTAACTTAAATTAAATTATTAATTTTTTTCTTTTTAAAACTGGTTAGTTTTTAAAAAGAAAAAAAAACTAACTTAGTTATTACGCGAACTAAGCTAAACACCTCGCTTACCGCTCTGGTGCCTTTCGCTTAAGCCGAACGTCCACCACAAGCTAAACTAACTTAGTTTATCGTAGCTCGCATAACTGAGTCAGTTTTCCATAAATGTGCATTCACCGCAAACTATGCCATCAAAGCTAGGTAAAATAGCCAAAATAAGTCGAATTGACTTAGTTGTGTACGTCGTTCCGAAACTACGCGAACTAAGCTAAGCGCCTCTCACCCTCTTACATTACCCCTCTGGTGCCTTTCACTTAGTGATGTTTGTTTTGTTTAGTGTGAGATTATGCACAGGCAGTGAAACGTTATAGCTTATTTTTCAGTGGACGTGCAACAATTTTTCAGGTTTGCTTAGTTACTTAGTTGCTTAGTTCACTGAGCCTAGTTTTCACATAGTTTAGTTCGCGGTGGTCGTTCGGCTTTATAGTCTTAAAACCAATTTTATTCACAACTCTGTTACGAGTTGGTCGAAAATTATGTATTTCAATACAGTAACTGAAAAACGTATCATGGAATAAGTTCTGGGTAATAATATTCCGAAAATTGAGAACATATTTTAAAGTGTTATAATTCCGATTATTTTTGTCACACCAGGGTTCGTACACATGCGTTCCGTGCGGCGGGAATTATTACGTGAACACCTCTCGGCCTTGCCTTGAGCCGGACTCGCTAATTCAGCGCTGCGAGCCCTCGCGCTGTCGCCGCTTCAACGCCGTCTGCGGCTACGGACAGGAGTGCGTGTGCGCGGTCAGTACTATGAAGTTATGTTGTTTAGTGTACTGGCAGTTACTACGTCCATACGTAGTGTAACTACTACGTCTTTTGCTACGACGGGTGATGTAAATGTCCATCAGTCCATGATAGATTAAAAATTAAAAAATTAGAGAAAATGATTCATTCACCACATATACTGGGTGGCGATTAGGTTATCACATTAAATAGCACAACGGTAAATACAAGTTCATAATATATTTGAAATAATAAAATAAACAATTATACCAAAAATAAAAATAAAATCATCTTTCAAACAAAATAAATAGCGTAATAATTGCCACGAAATAAATCACCTTGATAATATTAGTTTACTGACGCGGCATCAACATATTTAATTATTTACCTACACCTTTCCAGTCATAGGTAATTAGGCAAAAAACTAAAAAAAAAGGCTACCGCGACTAGAATGTTAATTGTTATTTTTTTTATTTGTGTATGTTCAAAGAACGTTATGTAGGATAAGTCTTTTCATTTAATGTGATAACCTTATCGCTGCCCCGTATACAACACGTCATGTAGCAGCGGCGGAAGAGAATTCTCTACCCCATATCATCCCGTGGGTGTCATAAGAGATGAGAGAATTAAATGAAACAGGAGATAGGCAGCAGTATCTTCCTGATAACAACTCAATATAATACAAAACTGCGGTCGCCAATCAGCATGGCAACTATGGCAAATATCTTATAAGGCATACCCTACGTGGTAGAGCCATGCTGCAGCTGTATTAGTAGTATAGTTGTAGCACAAATGGGTGGACTCGACCGGGGAAGGACCACGCTCTTACAGAATACCAGCGTAAAATGGCAGCTTGATACTGCTGTGTTTCGTATGGTGAGTGTAGAGAACCGGAGACCTATTTTACTGGAAAAGAGGCATTCCATCTTAGTCCTCACTGGTGACAACGCATCTGCATTTTGATTCTTAATTGAGGATAAATGTAGATGTCTATGGGTCACAGCAACCACTTACCATCAGGTGGACTGTGTGCTCTTTTGTCACCCTATCAAAAAAAAGGCAATCTATGAAGTAGGCATGTACCGGGGCTGTAATGAATGAAAGTGAATATACAGCACAATGGTTGTAGAATTTGCGCTTTGTGCTACAACCGAGAATTTCGGTGCGCGCGTCATAAACATTAGCATTGGCTCCGTGGCCTTACAGCCTCGTCGGAAGAGACTTAAGGGAAAAGGAGTAATCACATTCTCCACTATTGCTAACTATTTTATTGTACTTGAGTTACATGGTAGAGCCACCACGCCATAATATGCATGAAAATGTCAGCACAACTGGGAAAAGTCTACGCTCTCAAATATACCAGCATGATATTGCTGTTTTTATGCGACCTATAACTGGTAACGAGGCATTCCTTCTAAATCAGGGGTGACAATGCATCTGCATTTTAATAATTATCATAATAATTATTATGTCCTCCAGAGCGATTTTGGTCACAGCGGCTGGTCTCAACTGAGACTAGCCATATGCGCAAGACAGGATTATTGTGTCCGAGTGTATGCGCAAGCGTTCCCGTGCACTCAACAAGTGCTCTCATACAACAACCCTTACTCTCATAAATATATGTGACGGCTATCCGACACGGCTGGAGAGAAATCAGACGGAGGATTAACGGCTTTACGTGCTTTCCGAGGCAAGGGGGTGAAACACCGCCAACTTCTTGACTCCAAATAGCTATTGAGAATTTCTTACAGAAAAACCGAACATTTTGGCCCGACCCGGGATTTGATGCCGGGACCTCATGGTCAGCAATCACATTTACGACCACTAAATCAAGGAGGCAGCTAATCTGTATTTTAATAATTAATCGTGAATAGATGTATGTATCTATGGCCCACAACATCCACTTTCCGCTAGTAGGTCTGTGTGTTCGTTTGTAACCCTCACTTGTAAAATAAAACTTAAGTATCGATACTTGCTATATTTTATCGGTTTGGCATGGCCATATTAGGTTTTTAAAGTGGAATCTCTTACATAAAAATAAACATAGTTCATTTTAAAAGGTTATCAATACATGCATGTATTGATAACCTTTTAAAATGAACTATGTTTATTTTTTTAATTTAGGATTTAATTTAAGGAATTAATTTAATTAATATAGGATTATTTTGCAATGTCCGGCCAAATTTGCAGAGAAGGTTCAGAATAAGCAATAAAGGCAAAAAGTGAAAAAAAAAATTATAAAGAGTCTCAAAGGCTCTGCTTTTTATCTTTTAAACTCAGAATACGTGGTAATGTATTATTTTAACCGACTGTTATTCATAAATATCTAACGCCTACTATTTTACTACGCACGCACACTCTCGTAAGGATTGGTCGGTCAGCATAAACATTGTGAATTGAATCGCATTGGAACGCGCGTACACGTAGTTGCCGATAAATCACATTCAATTTGGGATGATTTCAAATAAAGGTACAAACCTTATTTAGTCGTGTTTTCACAAACTGCAATAACGGTATATCATTCTTTATATATTTGAACTTAAGTTTGAAATTTGGCTACTCTTTGAAAAATTACCCTGTTTAAAAATAGTCTTTAAATTTCAGACAGGGTGGGCTGGCAATGGTACTGTCTGTGGGCCGGATAGGGATATAGATGGATATCCGGATCACGCTCTTCCCTGTAACGAGATGCACTGCAAAGCTGACAACTGTCCAGATGTCTCGAATTCCGGACAGGAAGATGCTGATCGTGACGGTATTGGTGACTCGTGCGATCCAGATGCAGATGGAGATGGGATACCTAATATTCCAGTAAGTAAAATTATGTTCTTAAATAATACCAAAATGTTGTTGCTTACTTCGTTATAGATTTTAAAATAATGTTACAGGCAGGATAGAAGAATTTATATTCAACACAGATTATAAATTATTCTTATTGAAAGTCGTTTTTTTTTTTACTTTGACCACTGATTCGGAAAAAAAACCTCTATCCCGGGAAGAACCAACAAGTAACCCAGCGAGGCTATCATTTTAAGTTATTACATAATATGATATAAACTAGATATAAGCATAGTATGAAAACCCTTAGCTTTAATGCTTTGAATAAAATACTTGACAAGCATTTTTGCACCTTTCCAGGATAATTGCCCACTAGTATCAAACCCGGACCAACTGGATCGAGATGAAGATCGCAGCGATAAGAGAGGAGACGCTTGTGACAACTGTCCGCGTAGGTATAACCCCGGACAAGAGGACGCGGATCGTGACGGACTGGGAGACGTCTGCGATCCTGATATGGATAACGACGGTAAGAAAAACTTTAGAGAAACAGAAAAAAGTAATTTCAAAGGTACCGACGGAGATCAAACTATATAATACTATATATAAACTATATATACACTGCGTATTATGCAAACGAGAGATATTTAAGCATCTAAGCTCTGAACTACAAAAGTCGGCTTGCTTAAAGAAAACGTATATATAAGTTATACATCTCATCATTCATTTAGTATCCACCATAGGAGCATGCCTTTACAAAAACATAAAATATCAAAGTTTACTACCTAGGAAAGACCACGTCTAAAAATAAATTCTCTTTCCTGTTTCTGGTACAAAATAGTAGTGCAGCACTGTTGTGTTCCGGTTTGAAGAGCGTAATAGCCCGTATAATTACAGGCTGTGATCACACTTATCATCAGATAGGCTCTGTTGTTGGACTGTGATATTAGTCACTATAATGTTAAGAAATAAAGATGCACCAGTGCGGTTACTTTGTTTCATATTCATATGTTATTGTAAGGAGACTTTGGATTGCACAAATTTGTTTTGGTTTACTAGGGCGTCATTTGTCTATGATATCAACATTTCTACTTTTGGGTTGTTCAAGTCATTCTTTATACGTGGTTTCAGAAAATTTTAACCAGCAGACTTCAACAGCACATTTTTAGAAATGAAAACGAAACAAAGTATCGTTTGTCGCAAATGCTCCTTAATGGGCAAAAACTCTATATTTTCAATGCAGTAGATTCTACAAACAAAGTTGTTCTTTTTCGAAAATTGAAAACAAATTTAGTTAGATAACGTTGTAATACTTAACCTAACAATCTATACAATGAGAGTTAGAATTAATTTAAGCACCCAACATTGTGCAAGTCTATCTCTTAAGGTTTTGATTATAGTCTTCCCCGATCGTTTTAACTTATGAAAAGAATTTAATCTGTTTAGTCAGTAGTTTCTTGTCTTAAAATCTGTTTAGTTTTAAAATTCTATACTATTAGAGCTACTCCGTTTCGATCCCTCTAGACATTTCTTAAATTGTTAATTTTATATGAAATACTGAAACCATATTATGTAAAGGAAAATTTCGAAATGGTAACTGAATGTTTCGTAATGTTTTCTACACTAACTCCGTCTTAAAAATGAAAAAAGTTCTTTGGTTAGGTGTATTGTAGGGTATTGAATACACGGAAGACGGTCAGGACTGGTCGTCGCTGCTGGAGACAAGAGGGCTGGTAATAAATAAGTATCGCTTTTCCATATGGAAACAGGCAGCGTTTATGTTGTATATCGTGGGAAACAGGACTATATAATACGGGACCATAATTTTAGTGTTTAATGTTTTTATTGTATATTATTATTTTTTATATTTGTGATTTTTATAGAATACAAGTGTTTCTTTTATACATATTGTTGCGTGCCACTATTAATGTCTTGTACATGGCAACACTAGTTACTACTAGCGCCCTCTAGTATCGAGTAGCAGAACTAGGAGAATCAAGATGTTTCTAGAAATATCGGGACCGATATGTATTCGAACATTCTAGATATTTCTATAGTAGAAAGTTCTGGAAACTACCTGAGGCCCTATATAAGGCCGGTATAGACCGCGACCGAGTCAGTGTTGAATTGGCGATATAAGCGAATACTTCGAGGCAATACAACGGCGAACTAGTGATCAATAGTAAAATTGTGTTTTATTATTAGTGTGGTTTAAGTTGTAATTGGTGCTCTGTAATTAAAGTGTCGATTTTGGTAATTCACTCGGCAGTTTTTAATTGTCTTGAACCCCAAGCTCGTAACAAGCTTGATTAAAAATAAAAATGCATATGCGTTGTCTTGTCTTCGAGGTATAAGATGGAATGCCGCATTTTGAGTAAAATCCGGTTATTTATAATCAGCCTAAGTATAGCACAGCAGCATTGAGCCGCTATTTGGTACTCTGGTATTCTGTGAGAGCGATGTTTTTTCCCGGTTGAGCCGGGTTACGACCGGGTAAACCGTAATAGCATGGTTCTACCACGTAAAATAAATAATATATTATAATGTTATTTGTAATCGACGGGTCGGTTAATTTTGTATATGTGTGAGTGGCAGGTATCCCGAACGAGAGCGACAACTGTCCGCGTGCGCACAACCCGGGGCAGGAGGACACGGACGGCGACGGCGCGGGCGACGCGTGCGACAACTGCCCGCGCGTGCGCAACGCGGCGCAGGACGACGCCGACCGCGACGGCGTCGGCGACGCCTGCGACAGCGACGTCGACCGCGACCAGTCAGTACCCAGTGCCCAGTGCCCGCACACTCCACGCTTTTATATTTAAGCCTAGCGGAGGCGAGGCGTAGCTTAGAGGCCACGCAATATTTTTGACGTTATATGATCAACAAATTTTAGATCGACTACTTTTCGATATGATTAATTCTAAAATCTGACCAATACATATATAAAAATATCTTTATTTAAACTATAAGGATAATAAGAGATTTTATATAAATAAATTGCTTCATAAAAATCAATTTGGTTTTACAAGACGTCACTCGACTCCCAGACGCCAGAGTTGAACTTATAAAACATATTTTTTGTGCATGGGAAAATTAAGAAAGTCCTTTGGGTGTGTTTTGTGACCTTTCAAGGGCCTTCGACCGTGTTCACCATGAGACATTGATCAGGAAGCTACGTTACTATAGTATCAAGAACACAGCGCCTAAACTTATTATTTCATATTTAAGTAATAAATTACAGAAAGTTATTAACAATGGTAAAAGTTCTTCCAAGTCATCCGTAAAGATGGGTGTTCCTCAGGGCTCGATTCTCGGCCCAGTCCTATTTTCCATGTATATTAATGACTTACCTTCCCTTGTAGGGAATAATCATGATATAATATTACTTGCTGATGATACTTCCTTGATTTTTAAACTTAAACGTCTATCATTTAAATGTGACGAAGTGAATAATGCTATATCAAAATTAGTGCATTGATTTAACGTTAATAATCTGCGTTTAAACGGCAATAAAACTAAACGTATTAAATTTACAACAACGAATATTAAAAATGTGAATACCAATGTGTTTTTAAATGGGGAAGAACTGAGCCCTATTGAATCCTCTGTTTTTCTTGGCATCACTCTCTACGCAAAGCTTCAGTGAGGCCCCCATATGAATATCCAAACTAGCAAGCAGACTAAGCTCAGCAGCTTATGCTATAATAAAGATTAGAGATATTACTAGTATCGAGACAGCTAGATTTGTTTATTTCAGTTATTGCCATAGCATAATGTCTTATGGGATTTTGCTATGGGGAAATTCGGCTGATTTAGAAACTACTTTTGTTTTGCAGAAGAAGGCAATAAGAGATATTTACAACCTTAAACCGAGTGAATCTCTGAGAGAAAAATTTAAAGAAATAAATATATAAATTTTGGCCTCTCAGTATATTTATGAAAATTTAATGTATGTTCACAGCAACAAAGATAGTTTTAGTAAAAAAAGTGATATACACTCTGTAAATACTAGGGACAAACATAAGCTAGTGATACCAGTCTCTCGACTCCACAGAGTCAGTAATTCATTATTGGAGCAATGTATACGCTATTACAACAAAGTCCCAGAAAATATACAAGGTACCTCTATTACCAAGTTTAATTATTTTATTAAACGAAAACTGTATCAGAAGGGTTATTATAATATAAATACATATTATAATAACCATGGTTACATATACATGGTTGATAATAACCCCTGAGAATGAGGTGGTCGCTTCCAAGCTGTTTCTAAAATAAATTTTGTAAATAGTTTGTAATCATTTATATTGTAAAAATTTATTTAAAAAAATCCCGCTGGGGTTCTTGCTGGTTCTTTCCAGGACAGGAGAGAGACTTTTTCGAACCAGTGGTAAAGTAAAAAAAAAATTACTTTCAATAAGAATTACTTGTAATCAATATTGAATAAAAATTATTCTATTCTATTCTATTTGCAATTTTTGCAGTTTTTATCAGTTTATTTTAAGATAAGATATAGAGCACTAATACGTACTAAAAACTTTTCTATAGATTAGAAATTAAACTTGGAAACATCTCAGATTTTGTGGTTTTCGATAGATGTCACTATTATTTTTTATAGTTATTTATTTAAGTAGTAGGTAATTAGTTACTATCAAAAGAGATGAACTTGATTCCATACAAGCTTGGGCACGGCGTACTATTATTTATTCTGTGGCGGCGTGAACAAACTTCAAATATGTCTTAGTTTGAAGATTTAAACATTTGCTACTTATATCAAAAAAACATATTTTTCAATAAATTGAAGAAAAAAAAAACACAAAAGAATGCAGTTCTGTAGTTATTATTAAATAAAGTAAAATAAAACTCAATCTTTTTTAATTGTTTAACAATTTTCTGCAATTATCAATAAAATGTCATCTAAAAAAGCAGCTGGAGGCTGTACATTGTCTGTTCTATTCCTCTCAAAACTTAAGTAGCACATTATTTTCATTATGTGGGCTCAACAAACTACTGTCCTGTGATCCGAGAGAAAATCCAAGAGTCAAGTTAAATAAATCCACGAATGTAAAATCACGAAATCTATCAAAAAAAAGCTACAATGCGAAATGCGCATGTCGCATGACAAGCTCAAACTAGAAGTTACCAAGTTAAGTCTCCTTCGGAATATGCAATGGTCAATGACCATACAGTCGTGTAGGATAATACTGTGATGTTTTTTTTTTTGGTTTAATGACATAGCCTATTCAATCGTTTTCTAAATATATTATTTTATTCAATATTAATTACTACAGATTCGTGTCAATGTTTCAATATTATGTATTTTTTGTTAAGGAAGGCTATTTTATTATAAAAATAGCATTCATTATCTCTTGCCATAGACAGAATACAAAAATATATTTAAAAATGTTTTTATGATTGTCCCAAGCATTACAAAAACCATTTATTTATGCTTATAATTTATCGTTTTATTACCTACATGTTTTTGTATAACTGTTACGAACGATGTCAAGCACCCAATTTCATACATCTCCTTTATTATTACGTACTAAAATAAAATAACGAAAGAACTAAAAAAATTAACGTTGGAATTTTCAAATCATTATGAATTTAATTAATGTAAGTTATTTATTTTATTTTATTTATTAGTAAGTAGAGGTAAAATGTTACTACTTTTTGTATTTTACGTAAATGGAACTGTTTTGAAAAAAAAAACGTAGATTGTCAGCGTAGGTAAAATTGTTACGCAACGGTTAAAACCAATTTTCGAATTTTTTTGGCTTTATTTATAAATATATTAATTATATAAAAACACATTAATCGTTTAAAACTGGAATTAACATCTAAAGGAAGCAAATACTTAACCCTCCCTTTTTGAAGTTCCGTAATGAAATAAAAAGTAGTCTATAAGTTGCCCCAGGTCCCTAACTACCTACACACAAAATTTTATAGAAATCTATCCAGTAGTTATAGGTGAATCGTAAATACACAGACATACAGACAGACCAAAATTCTAAAAACCAATAATTTAGCTTCAGTGCCCTTTATTTACTCCCCTGAACTTTTTTCCCAAAAAATATTAGAATTACAGACACGATTTTTCTACAGATTTATTATACATTTATCTATATTATCTACGAGTATACGATTCCAAAATCATAGAAATAATTAATAAAGTAATATCTAAAAGTACATAAATAACACTATTGCTTTTCAGAGACGGTATACAAGACGGTTTGGACAACTGTCCAAATTTAGCCAACAGTGATCAACTAGACGTAGACAATGACGGAAAAGGTGATGCTTGCGATGAAGATATTGACGGAGATGGAGTTCCTAATTTGGAAGATAATTGTCCTCTCGTACCAAACCCTAATCAGCTTGACACTAATAGTAAGAACTTACACTATACTATTTTAAATAAAACGCAGTTGTAATTACATGACAATGATCTCATTATTATACCAAACTTAGTATTTCATTACACAGTTTTTTGGTTATTTGCAATTAAAATATACTTTACTACGATCTAAAGTAGTGTGATATTAACTATTAATACTGTAGTTAGACTAATAAATATAATTATTTTAGGTGATGGAGTTGGTGATTTATGCGACAACGATTTCGATGGAGACAATGTTACAAATGCTTTAGATAACTGCCCCAACAATTCCAGAATATTCCGAACAGATTTCAGGTGAGTTTTTGTACTTAATTTTTTATCAGCCCTTTAACAAATAATCGCATCATCATTTTTTAGCCAAAGGTGGTGTCAGATGTCTCGGACGATGTCTCATATCTTCCGAGATACCTGAAACCACCTTTCGCTACGTAACATTTGCAAGCACGACGAAATTGTAAACTCACTTTATATTGCTTATAACGCTCCAGATTTTGAAGAACTTTAATACCAATAGTACTTGACAATGACGTTTCCAGTAAATACTAAATAAAAATATCGCACTGGTGATTCCTAAGTTACCTGTTGTGGTGACAATGTTGCTACTGCCATGCGACTTTTATGATTAAGAGATCTGACTTTGCCTAGTACTTGTTCAAGTAACGGCTGATCATGTGGTCATCCAAGGTCAATATTCCGAGTTGGGCCAGAATCGTTTATTGGGTTTTTCTGTCAGGAAATTCTCAATAGCAGACTGAAGTCAGGAAGTTAGCAGCGTTTCACCCACATGACTCAGAAAGCACTTAAAGCCGTTGTTTCTGCACCTGATCTCTCTTGCGTACACGTTCGTGGACTATAACCTTGTCCTATGCAAATGGTAAGTCTTCGCTGAGAATGGTAGCCATGACCGAAATCCGGTTCTTAATGAAATTGGTATAGAAATGTTAAAGAAACCTAAATTGTTATTAATATCCGTTATTTTTGTCAATTTATTTACTTTGTCTGTACTAAAATTTATATATTCTTTCCTTTTTTAGAGAATACATGACAGTTCGCTTGGACCCAGAGGGCGAGTCTCAACAGGATCCTAACTGGGTGATAGCTAATGATGGTGCGGAAATTGTCCAAACCCTCAATTCAGATCCTGGACTTGCAGTGGGCTTCGACAAATTTGGAGGAGTCGACTTCGAGGGGACGCTGTTCGTTGACACACAGATAGACGACGACTACGTTGGTTTTATATTTGGGTAAGTATTAAATTTGTTTTCTCTATTCGACCTCATACATTTGATAGAAAACAAGCGATAAAAATGTAACCCACCACTGAAATGGTTAACTGTAATTTAAGGGCTGATTTACAATGTACTTAATGGTAAAAGAAAACGTGAAAAACCTCTATTCGAGCAACAATTATAGTAGTACGCCAAGTATACATCGCGGATTACAAAGACATTATCGGCCAAAATCTGCTTTATCGGCTTTTTGGAGCAGTTTCATTGTCATTCACCCCCGTTTAAATTTTTGTCAATAGTTGATTATTGTATTATAAGTTTTATCGCATCCACATCAAAATAATAGTAACAATAAGTAAAAAAAATATAAGAACAATGAAGCTTTTAATGGAGTAATATTTAATTAAATGTATGAGTAACTAGACCTATGGTAGCTCAGGGACTAAGCGCTCGCTGCAAATTTCACAGTACGCGAGCAACCCGGGTTCGGTCCCCGTCGGCGCCAATGAAATTGTTAATTGCAATTTTAATTGATGATTTACCACGTGCTCGGTGGTGAATTAAAACATCGTCAGGAAACCTGCATGTCTGAGAAATAACAAAAAATATTTTCGAAGACATGTGATGTTCGCTAACTCGCATTGAGGCAGTGTGGCGGTCATTTCCTTGACCTAAAACCCTCTCAGAAATGAGAAAGGAGGCCTATATATATATATATATATATATATATATATATATATATATATATATATACTATAACTTTATGAGTAACTTCAATAATTATTTCTGTGTTTATGACAGATATCAGAACAACAAACGTTTCTACGTAGTGATGTGGAAAAAGAACACACAGACGTACTGGCAGACAACGCCGTTCCGTGCGGTGGCCGAACCCGGTATACAGCTCAAACTAGTGAACTCCAAGACTGGACCTGGCAAGACTTTGAGAAATGCTTTATGGAATACTGAGTCTACGGCTGATCAGGTAACATTGTAATAACTATAAATAGGAGTCTTTTGTGTAAGACGTTATTTCCTTTTTGTATAAATATATACTAAATTATATGTTAAGTAAGTAAGTGGTAAGTCGACAACGAAGGGTTCAAGTTTACTTTAGTAAACTATTTAGTAATCTGTGGTTCAAGACTGGCCGAGCGTCTGATGTATAATATATTTATATACGTTTCGAGTGTTGTGGAAAGAGCGGTATTAGCGAAGGGTAATATAGGATAAGCATGTATTAACGCGCTATTCGTCGTTTAAGCTTTATTACTTTATTATAAACTAGCTGTGGCGGTTTCACCCGCGTATATCACGTCTCTCAGCCTCGTGACATTACATGGACACCTACTTCAAGCATTTTATTTAGCAATGTATGGAAAAATTGGTAAAATTAATGGAGGACTTTTATCTATCGGCATATTTACGTTACAGAGCAAAATGAAATTTTATCCACCCTCCTTTCCATTCCCGGGTGAGCGTTACGCCCCCCCCCCCCCCATTATATCGTGTACTGTTTTCTTTAAAACTGGAAAAAACCGCGGTAAAATTATTGTAACTTTGCTCTATAACGTACATATACCGGCCGATAGATAAAAGTACTCTATTAATTCTGCGAATATTTTAACCTAAAATAATTGAATTAACCTCGCCCATAGAAGCGTACACTGCTCGTTTTTCTCGGTTCTCATCGGGCGGCTAGGGTTTATGCGTAGTTCGCGCGCCGATTCCAGTGCTTAATTATTTAAATTTTTCGTTATCTCTTAAACTATGCGCCCAAATAACATGCTATAAAAAGCAAAGCTTATCTCCATAAAATTATTTTGATGATGAAGTAACTTTCGATACTAAGGGTTATTCGTTATCGTTGCCATGCCTAATAATAATTCTTATAAATCACTTTTTAATTTTCAATAATTTTTTGTCACAAAATACCTTATTGTGGCTTATGTATAAGAAATAGACATATGGTAACGCGGAATTATTTTTAGATGAAATAAAGATCCATACTTTTGTAGAACATTGTATTCACGTATCACTAACCATTACGACAGCGCACGCGTATAAATCATTTCGGGAGCGCTTTTTCTCCCGAAATGATTTATTCGCTATGATTTTAATTATTTATACAAAAATCAATATTTAAGGTTAGCTGAGAGGTGTAGCCTAATGCTATATAGCCAATAATACTATTCCTCATGAATCTGGCTATAATATACAAAAAGAATTTTTCAAATTGGACTGTTAGTCCAGAGATTAGTTAGTTTAAACAAACAAACAAAATGCGTGAGTGTCGTGGAACACTCGGTTGGAAGGAAGTTCCTTGCGTAGTATATTATTATCGATAAACGTTGGTATTATATTATTGATAAACGTAGGTATTATATTATTGATTAACAAATACAATTAAATGAATTAGCGTCTATTAAAATGAAGCGTGATTTGAAATAAAATAATATTTCTTATCTTGATAAGAAAAAGTGCGAGGGAGATGGATATTATTCCATCTCACTTCCTTATTTCGCCGCCAAAGCCGTCTACACTATGACACAAGGAGTAGTGACGAAAAAATCTTACACTTTCCACATCCGCCAAACCCGCACCGTCCGATAAAGAGTTTCGTTCCAAAAACAAATAAACTCTTTCATTTTATTATATTAGTATAGTTGACGTCTGAAGTCGAGTCAATAGTCACTTATAAAAAAATAGTAATAGATCGAGTTGCTCTCGAAATATTTCAAACTTACTAATGGCCAAATACTATATAGAATTTGAATATTTGGCCAAATACTCAAACGCTACTCCCTTTTAATATCTTTTAATAGACTTATTAAACACCCCAGCACCAAAACGAGATTATTGATTCACAATACGTTATGGGAATCTATATAATCGAAATACGAGACCATTAAACAATTAAACAAAATGTTAAATCATACAGGTGACTCTCCTGTGGAAAGATCCACGCAACGTAGGCTGGCGCGAGAAGACGGCATACCGTTGGCGTCTACTTCATCGACCAAAGATCGGTCTCATCCGCCTCAAAGTGTACGAGAACAACCGACTCGTCGCTGACTCGGGTAACGTCTACGACTTCACTCTGAAGGGCGGCCGGCTTGGCGTCTTCTGCTTCTCTCAAGAAATGATCATTTGGTCCAACCTTGTCTATCGATGCAATGGTAAGCACTTTGATGATACATTTTTAAAGACGATATTAAATTTCCGTGTGCTTTAAGTAAAATATCATAAAGTATGATTTCTACAGAAGTCTTCTTAAGGATAAGAAATTACTTAAGAAGACTTAAGTAAATAAGACTTCGAATTCACCTAGATAGGAACCCCCTTATCTTTTTCTACCAGCTGTTTACCGGTTCGACAAACGAGCACATAGCTCACCTGATGGCAAGTGGATGTTGTGGCCCATATACAGCTACATTTAACCTCGATTAAAAATCAAAATGTATTTTATCTTAGTTCTCAGGGTTCAGGTGTTCTGTGGCCTACTTTTTTTGAATTTGATTGCAGACACATTCAGACACATATAAATACGTACTCTTCGTAGCCTAGCAAGAAGTCATATAGATTACTGGAGAACTACAGAATTATAGGACACTCAACATGCCCTACAAGTTTTTTTTTTTTTTTTTTTTATAGGATGAGGGTGACAAACGAGCACACAGTCCACCTGATGGTAAGTGGTTGCTGCGGCCCATAGACATCTACATCTATCCTCTGTTACAAATCAAAATGTAGATGCGTTGTCACCCGTGAGGACTAAGATGGAATGCCTCATTTCCAGTAAAAAGGGCCTCCGGCCACCTGCACTCACCAAGCGAAACGCAGAGGTAAACCTCTACTTCACGCTGGTTTTCTGTGAGGTCGTGGTACTACCCCGGTTCGAGCCGGCCCATCCGTGCGACAGAAAAAGCTGCCGCGTGGCTCTACCACTGTTTAAAGTTCCCATATCTCAAAAAAAAAAGGTATTAATATTTACTACACCATCATTTCAGATAAAATTCCATCAAATATCGTATCGGAACTGCCTACGCGGCTGCTGAGAAAATTAGAAATCGATCACAACTTTATTTACGCATAATATTTATAGTACAGGTTAAAATAAAAAAATAAAAACTAATTTTTTCGGATTAATTGAACTGAATATTTCTATGTATCGTAACAAAAATATAAAACTATTCCGAAAGTTAGGCGGACATGGAAGTAATGATGACCATAGTACAAAAATAATGTAATATTATAGAAATAAACAAATACACTAAAGGTGACAACAATTGTAATAAATGACTGTATGGTAGAAGCGTTAATTAAAGACATGTATAATATGTTACTGTAAAAGTCCGTATTTGGATAAATCTTAGGTTTTTATTTTAAATCTTAGAATTTATCAACATGAGTTGATAAATGTAAGGTTTGGTAATATAATAAAATGAGACGTTTTTTCCGGGCTTTTACCATTAGAGTTTCGTACATACTAGATTTTACGAATGACTATTAGTATATGTTGATTTTGAAAATAAAAATATGTATTAAAATTAGAAAGTATTTACAAAACATTAACTCATGTTATTTATTAAATTTTAAAACAAATTTATGATGAGTTTTAAAAGTAGAATACAGTAAAATAAAGAGTTAGTTGTTTTCTTCCAACAAACATTATACCTAAGTTGGCTAAGCTAATCACTGTCCGCTATTATTCCACGTTTAGCTTCTTCAGATCTTACAGCTCCAATCATATCTTTTACGATCGCTGAACTTGCGATGCTTATTTTCATTGGAAAACCAAACATTGCTTCGTGTGAGGTTCTTTCGACTCCCTCATCATATTATCTATTTTTCAATGCCTGGATGAATTTTAAAACCTCTAACCATTTTAACCTTTACTTTCTCTAAACACTGCGTATTTAGCTCTATCGAGATAAAATTTAATATCTTTCTTACTTGTCACGAGTTCGTCTTGTACATTTAATCACATAAATACTTCTAGACAGTAGAAGGGGGGAGGGGGGGGAGGACAATATAATGCGTCGAATACTTCTAGACATGACTATTTTTCATACATTTTACGTGTCTGAGGTTAAACTTAAGATTTACTAAGTTAATGCTAGTACAAGTCCGAAATTAACGATTACCACAGAATAGTTTGGACCTTTACCATAAAGACTTGGTAAATTTTAGGTGTTACTAGAAAATCTTAGGATTTACCGTATTTCGAGCTTTTACAGTAACATATATAATCAAAGGGTAGATGCAATACATGGATTGCAACTGCTACCTGACTACAATTAGCCTACCTAAATTACATTTCTAGTATTGGCATATATGGATGAATTATTCATTTAATATCATTTTAAATTTATTAAATGTCCAGTAATTATAGTGAATCGTAAATAGAGAGAATGACAAAGCAATGAGTATGAGTCAAATAAAATTTCCATCACTCTATATTGTAGTCCCGTGGGTGTCGTAAAAGGTGACGGAGGGAAAAAACTAGGATATGGACAGTAGCGTCTTCCTGACAATTACTTAAAACATTGAGTTATATGTACTACGTACTAGAGAAGCTATTCCAAACAAAAGTGGTGCGCTACTCTATGTCTTCACGCATGCGCGGGAGATAGTAGAGTCGCGTATGCGCGAAGACTTTAAATTAATATAAAATAAAATATTAATATCAAATAAATATAAGAATTTAATATAAAATACTCTTATTTTAATCTAAACAAACATATTTCTAAATAAAATGTAATAATAATTATCTTATGGTATTCACAAATCTTCAATTTACGCAATATTTAGTTTAGTGTACGGATTGCAGTGCAGTTCAGTTGAACATAGGCAATGTTCAGAATGCGAAATCTAGTGCGTAGTACATATATATTGATGACTTAAATTAAGTAAATAACTGCGTGTATAGACACGCCTACCAAGCGTGTCTACTATGGCAGATAATATGTTCCCTGTGAGGCAATAGGGAGGCCTATGTTCGGCAGTGGAATTTTGATAGGCTATAGCGCTATCTCTTACTTTCTTTTACTTTGACTGCTTCGTATAATATATTTATTTATATATTCATTAATACATTTGTTTTAAAGGTGCAAATGTTTGGTCATATACAGTTCATTTCTTTATTTCTATGGTAAAATATTGTGTATTGTATGAACTAAAATACATGGAATAAGTATTAAGTTATAATATATTATGTGACCTTTAATTAAGTTTAATAAATAATAAATGCTTTTTAACCTTACGCGCATTTTTATTAAAAAACCATCGGTATGTTGTGAACTTTTATTTTCCGATGTTATGAATAACGGGGAACTGTATTTTCAATTTCCTATATCCGATATGAAATATTGGCGATGATTCTAATGGAAACTTTAATATACAGCAGCTGTGTTACAATTGTATGAATGTTATCTACATTGGCAGGTATTGAAAGCGTAAAAGAATTGAATGCTTGTGTGTGTGTGTGTGTGTGTGTGTGTGTCATAAGTCGAGAGAGGGAAACTGTAACAGGGACTGGCCAGCAGAATCTTCCTGATAGTAATTTTAAAAAATTAAAGTAGAACTACGGTTGCCAACCTGCCTGTCAACCATGGCGGGTGGGCTCTATACTCAGCAGTAGATTTTGATAGGCAGTGATGGTGATGATGATAACATGGGTGAGTATATATTTATGAAGACATTTAATATTCCTTGTAAAGTTTTCCGTTTTTTTTTATAGTATAGGATGACAAACGAGCACACAGTTCACCTGATGGTAAGTGGTTGCTGTGGCCCATAGGCATCTACATTTAGCCTCGATTGCGATTTAAATTGCAGATGCGTCGTCACCCGTGAGGACTAAGAGGGAATGCCTCTTTTCCAGTAAAAAGGGTCTCCGGTTCTCTACACTCACCATACGAAACAGCAGTGTTAAGCTGCTTTTTTACGCTGGTATTTTGTGAGAGCATGGTCCATCCCCGGTCGCGCCGACCCATTCGTGCTACAACTATATACTACTAATATAGCTGCAGCATGGCTATAGAGCTATTGCAGCACGCGCGTGTTGGCTGCAGTGTTTCGTATGGTGAGTGTACTCTTAGAGAACTGGAGACCCTTTCTACTGAAAACGAGGCATCTTAGTCCGCAGGGTGAAAACGCATTTGTATTTTTATTCTTAACTAGCTGTTCCCCGCGACTTCGCTCTCGTGTTGTTTGGGGGTTTTAATTTTTTTGCGCGGAACCCTAATTTATTTTCTAAAATAAAAGTTGCCTAGAGATTAGCCGGAACAAACAGACAGACAGACAGATAAAAAGTTTAAAAATTGTTTTTTTTTATAGGATAAGGGTGACAAACGAGCACACAGTCCACCTGATGGTAAGTGGTTGCTGTGGCCCATAGACATCTACATCTATCTTCGATTAAGAGTCAAAATGCAGATGCGTTGTCACCCATGAGGACTAAGATGGAATGCCTCGTTTCCAGTAAAAAGGGTCTCCGGTTCTCTACACTCACCATGCGAAACACAGCAGCGTTAAACTGCTATTTTACGCTGGTATTCTGTGAGAGCGTGGTCCTTCCCCGGTCGAGCCGACCCATTCATGCTACAACCATAATATAGATGCAGCATGGCCCTACCACGTAAAAAATGTATTTTGTTATTAGTATCGTATATACTTTCATATTTATTTAGTAAAAAGCTGAAATTTTGCATTACAAACAGACACTTCAATTTTATTTATTTGTATAGATTGAGGATGTTTATGGGCCACAGCATACACTTACTATAGATGGTATAGAGCCGGTAGATGGCGCTGCGGTTCACTAGTAAATGTACGAGTATAAATGAAAGGCAAAAAATATGAAACACGGCGTACGGAATGACTGGTGGTGAACTTTTAAATTTATTTATTTATTTATTCTGCATTGCATTCCTTAAAACAAAAGAATGCAAAGGGTGGACTTCATGCCTTGTGGTATTCTCTACTAGTAAACGCATGGAGTGATGAGAATTTGACTTAGGTGTAGTATAGAATAGAAAACAAAATAAAAATAATAATTATCTACGTAGTTATATCGCCTCAATCCGTCCCTGGCTCAATATTCCAAACAGCCACATCAGCACATGCGTGAGAACTCGAGTGATAATTCTAAAGTAATGTAAGACGATATGATAATTGTACTAGACTTATTTTATTAACATTTAATATGGATGCATTCTGTAACGAACCACCTTCGAAAGAACATTAAATCATTTTATACTTTAAATTGTGTTTTTAAAAAGACTGTCGAGGTTCGTCGCAATTTAAGTGGCGCAGCCGGTAGGATATCCGTATATATTCTGCTGTCGTGCTAACGCCTTTCGGACCCCAAAATCGGTTTAAGCGTCAGTATAGCAGTCAGGTTCGGATATCCTCGAACCAAACAAATAACTCCCGCGACGCGCGCGCTATCGTTTCCAAATCAATCGATTACGCGCATTGGATCATCGGCAGTATCGAAGTGGTCAGAATCAACTGGAGGACATGGGATTGAACATACTGTGAGTAAACCTCTTCACTTCCTGTTTACATTTATCCCATTCTTTTCCGCATTTTCCGGACTAAAATCGTCGGGCCAAATTATTTGCAATTATCTGATTTTGTTGGCACAAAATAGGCCGATAATATTCTTGCTAATAGTTTAAGTTAGATTAAGTAAGATAGTTTAAATAAAAATGGCAGTAACTGTTATTCCAGCACATATTTTAGACTTGATTCCTAAATACGATGGAGATGAAAAATTACTCAATTTATTCATCTCAAAATGTGAATATGTTTTGTTAAATTCAGGAGGCGATAATACTCCGATTCAAAATTTATATAGATTCCATGCTATAAGTAGTAAGCTTAGTGGTAGAGCTGCGACTCTACTTAGTGATAACCCTAGTTTAAGTACATGGGAGGATTTGAAAGAAATTTTGACCCAGCATTTCGGCGACCCCCGTTCAGAGGAATGTATTGCTATTGAACTAGAATCTTTAAAAATCAAACAAGGAGAGTCATTTATTCAGTTTTGTACTAGAATACAAAATGTAAAAAGTTCTTTATTCGCTA